TCTCGTGATTTTTGCAAAGTTTTCAATAAACCTTCGGTAGAAATTGCCTAAGCCAAGGAAGGCCCTAACTCCTTTGACGCGAGTAGGTTCTGGCCACTCCAAGATAGCTTGAACTTTCTCAGGATCCATCCTGATTCCGTTCTGGCCTATAATCATACCGAGGAAGTCTACTTCCTTCACTTTAAAATTACATTTTTCGGGTTTGACGAATAGGTCCCGTTCCTGTAGGTGTCGAAGGACTTCTTGCACGATCCTGTCATGCTCATTAGGAGGGCATCAGAGATGTGGTCCTGGATGATTCCATGTGCCTTCTCATCCTTAAGTATCCAGGTGATCTCAGGATCCTCCGAGGAGGTAGGTTTTCCTGGTGAGGGCTTAAGCTCCTCTCCAGTAACAACCCGGAGAACTTTTTCCCAACATAGCTTTGAGATGATCTGGAGTTTCCATATCTGAAAATTGTTGGGTCCAGTGAGAACTGGACATGTGGATGTATCGCGTGCTGTGGTCATGGTTCTGAGGTTGCCGTTTCAAATAAGAATTATTTCCTGCGTAGCTTTTGCGCACCAGGGCTCATAACCTAATAAATCTAAGTGAAACTCAGCCGCTGCCCGAGAGGCTATAGAAACGACTTTATTATTTACCTAAGTGAAACTACAATAGATGTTAGTTTAAGGTGATCTCTAATAAATGTAATGTAATATACCTCAGCCGCTGCCCGAGAGGCTATAGAAACAACTGAGGTATTCCTATACTAAACCCCCTACTACTTATAGTTGGAGGTGCTACTCGCTACAGTATAATGACTCCTAGGGGAACAATGGTGACTCCATGGAGTGGTGGCTATGCTCCATGAAGAACAATGGCTGCTTTAGCAGAGACCGGGTTTATCCGGTTTTGTCACTGTTCACCTACATATAGCAAGCCGTCGCAATGTAACCACCAGTTGTTCCCCAGAACACTGAGATGAGATATTTACTTAGTTTCTACTGAATGTACTTAGCTCATCAGACTACCCAGTCTTTGTGTTTATTTAGGTACTTACTTCAATACACAGAGTTGTTCCCCAGAACACTGAGTCTTCATGTTTATTTAGATCAGTAATCTCTTTGAGGTTATGAGTCCTGGAGAGTCCATCAATAACAAGGAGTCCCTCGGTGTGCTGAAACTCGAGCCCGATGGTTCCAACTGGTCAATATATAAAACACAACTTGAGTGGGCTATGGCAGACAAAGACTATGTCAAACACTTACTTGGTCTGGCCCCAAAACCCACTCTAACCTAATCGCCAGGGACCGTGCAGACTGCTGCACAGGCTGGAGCAACTCCAGCCGTTCCCGCAACAACCACAACAACTACAATGTTATGTCCAACTGGCCAGGAAATGTTGAACACCTGGCTAAAGAAAGAATTCGATGCACAAAATATATTGGGCCGGATGATACCTAATTCCATGCTGCGCAAAGTCTTGCACAAAGACACAGTTGCCAAGATGTGGCAACTGATCATTCAAGAGAACAAAAACAAAACTGTATTGGTCCAGGCTGAATTAAGAGACCAATTAGCCGCGCTACAATGCCCAGACAAAGGGGACATGCGTACTCACATTGACAAACTTAGAGACATGTGGGAGCAGCTGAGCGCTGCTGGAGTACATTTTAGCAATAAAGAAAAATCATCGACCATAATGAGGTCCCTACCCCCCACTTATGCCACCTTTGTATCCCATTTGTCCGCAGCTGCCCACCTATCTGGAAAGATTGTAGAGCCAGAGACATTAATAATGTATCTACTATAGAAATACGACCAACTTACCATCGCAACGAGACATCCCAATGTGAAAACCGAGAACACCGCAATGTCTGCCAACCACATCCCCCAAAAGAGGGAATTGAGGCGGTAGAGGTCGAGGTTGAGGCTGAGGAGGGAGACATGACTCCAAGGATAGATCCTCCGAAAAGGGTGAAATCAAGTGCTATAACTGTGGAGGCAAAGGCCATATTAGTCGAGATTGCCCCAGTGAAAAATGAGATTGTAGAAATAATACAAAAAGAGACGCACCAGTGGAAGGGAAGGGGAATTCCCAAGAAAGTGACAACAAGGGGAAAAAGCCTGAACAAGCAAATATTGCAATTGTCGAGCGTGAAGAGGAGGGGATATGGTGTGCTATAACCCCCGCATCCCTTGCAGAAATGAAAGAGTCAGCTTCCTATGCGAACAATGAAAGACTCACCAGTCATCATGAGACTGTTGAATTATACAATTTTGGGGCCACTGCCCACTTCACGCCCTATCAAAGCCTCCTAAAGAACTTCCGAGCAATTACCCCCCAACCTGTCAGTGCAGCGAATCAAGACTCCTTTGCCGCTATAGGAGAAGGAGACCTTTTAATTAAAGTACTAAATGGTGATACTACCACCAAGATCATGTTAAAGACATACTTTATGCCCCCGGGATTGTGTATACCTTGGTATCCATCGGTCAGATAAACCAAACAGGTTATACTGCCACCTTTCAGCAAGGGAAGTGCATTACCACCAATACTACAGGCAAAATCGTCGGCCGCATCACTTCAGTCAACCTTTTTTCATAGCCTCTTAGGTTGATCAGTTACTGTTCAATGATATGCCTAAGAGGCCTTTATCCTGGGATTATCCCATAGGCAGGTAATCCATACAGGACTCCTTGAGTTAAGGTCACCCAAGGATAATTTGAGAATCCTGGGACTCCCAAGTGGTGTCAGGGGTTCTAGTATTGATTTAAATTTTGAGATTTGTATATCCTATACAAGGTAGGACTATCCTAGGATGTTATTAAAATCAAAGTGTTCCATAATAGGTGGCAAGGTGTACTTTAGGATTTATATACATGGTAGTCCAATCATATTCTGGAATGTCCTAGAGGAGTACTTCTAAAGACTATCCTTGCAAAATATAGTATCCTGACTGGAAAATTTAAATAACATTCAGCTAATCTCATAGGATATACAAGCACAATAGGGACATTCTGGACAACCATTGGGAAACTAACAGTACTTATATTAGTTTCCTTGGATATTCTGGGATGTGTAGTGGGATATAATTAGTACCCGAAGTAGTCATATTAGATGCTCTTAACCCTATTTGGTACTCCCAAAGGATATCCAGATACAATATGAATATTTTTTAAGACTATCAGGATACTTGCAGTACAAACATTAGTTTTGTTGGGTCTTCTGAATACCATGTGGGTATGGGTACTCTGAAAGGACATCCTATAGGAGTATCAGTGGGACAAAAGTAATACCCAAAGTAGTTACATTAGATGCTCTAGAGACTATGTGGTACTCCCAAAGTATATCTAGGTAAAACCTGACTATTTTGTATGACTATTGGGACACCAATAGTATGAATAGTAGTCTCATTGGATCTTCTGGACATATTGTAGGTAAGAGTAAAGAATATCCAGGTATAGCAGGGACATCCTATAGGAGCATCAGAGATACCCAGTGGTTTCACTGGATGTTCCAGACAGTGTACAGGTACTTCTAAAGGATACCTATGTAAGATTGGGACCCAGGATAGTCTTATTGGATGTTGTGAACACCATACAGGTACTCCAAAAAACATCCAGGGCACAATTGAGATATCTTAGATGACTATTGGGACACTAATTGTACAAATATTAGTTTCTTTGGATATTCTGAACACTGTCTGGTACTTTCAAAGAACATCCAGGTACAAATAAGAATATTTTAGAGGACTATTAAGACACCAGCAGTACAAATAATAATCTCATTGGATATTCTGTACAATGTGTGGATACTATCAAAAAACATCTAGGTTATGATAGGGACATCCTACCAGAGCATCTGGGATGCCTAGTGGGACACAAGTAGTGCCCAAGGTAGTCTTGTTGAGTATTGTGGACACCATACAGGTACTCCCAAAGAACATCCAGGGTATAGTAAGGACATCCTGGTGGAGTATCTGGGAAGTAATTGGACTACCATGTATATAAATCCTAAAGTACACCTTGCCACCTATTATGGAACACTTTGATTTGAATAACATCCTAGGATAGTCCTACCTTGTAATAATATAGGATATACAAATCTCAAAATTTAAATCAATACTAGGACCCTTGACACCACTTGGGAGTCCCAGGATTCTCAAATTGTCCTTGGGTGACCTTAACTCAAGGGAGTCCTGTATGGATTACCTGCCTATGGGATAATCCCAGGATAAAGGCCTCTTAGGCATATCATTGAACAGTAACTGATCAACCTAAGAGGCCATGGAAATAGGTTGACTGAAGTGGGCCACATACAAAAATTGGGAGTTCTCTATAGATCAAAATGGTCAGGCCATATAGGAGAAAATGCAAATGTTGTGATCGAGAAACTCACTGTGATGGACCTCCACAGACACTTAGGCCACGTATCCCCAACCACTGCAAAATCCATGGTCAATAAAGGCTTGATTGAAGGCATAAAACTAATCTCATCTGCCAAAGATCAATGTGAGCCATGCATTCATGCAAAAGCCACAAGAGAGTCTGTACCTTGAGTAAAAATGGGAAAATACGCCAAGGACTACAACTTGTGGGGTCCGGCTTCACTCGGAGGGAAACATTACTGTGTTGCATTCACAGACAATAAAACATGAGAGACACACCTTCATTTGCTACGCAAGAAAAGCAAAACTATTGCCCAGTTCAAAATCTATGAGGAATGGGTGCAAAACCACATGAATGCGGCCATAAAAGTGCTCCATAGTGACCAGGGAGGCGGATTCTTAAGCGCTGAGTTTGGAGCCTACCTAGAAGAAAGAGGCATAGTAAGAAAACTTACAGTACACAACACACCAGAACATCACGGTGTAGCCGAGCGACTGAATCGTACCCTACTCGAAAAAGTACGTGCAATGTTACACAGCAGTGGCCTGCCAAAATACCTATGGGGAGAAGCAGTCAGACACGATGTATGGCTGAAAAATTGCACCGCGACCAAGGCACTGCAAGTCATGACTCCCCATGAAGCAGCCCATGGCGTGAAGCCGAATATTTCTGGCTTGCATGAATGGGGCTACCATGTATGTGTACACAACACTTCTGGCTCTAAACTTGACAGCCACATACTTGAGGGTTGCTGGATGGGCCTTGACACTGAAAGCAAAGGGCACCATGTATACTGGCCCACCAAACATTCTGTCAGTGTTGAACGGTCAGTATATTTTGACAACGCACATCAAAGTCCGTCGACAACATCCCTCTAAGCCTTGAGGGGGAGAATATCACAACCGAGCAAGACAAAGATGCATCAGTTGACAACATTTTTATCAAAGTTGACGCACCTCCACAAGCCATCCCACAACCTCCTGCCATTCAACCCGCTATCCCGCATAATCCCGTTCCTATACCCCAACAACATGACCCAATCCCACCAGCCAAGCCCCAAGGACGTCGAAGCTCACGAATCTGCAAACCTGCACAGTACGTTCATGATCTACTCCATGGCAAAGGATCAGCCACCGGAAACACAAATAAAACCTTACCTAAAGGTATCCAAATCCCAAACAATGTCAACGAGCAAAACAACAATGCTGAAGGTCATGATTGGGATCTGTGAGAAATCAATTTTTCTTATCGCATTCCCGTCATGTCATGGTTAACAGACTCGATCCCTGTCACTCCTCTTGCTCTTGGACTACAGATCACAGCCGGTATTTTATTACTTTTATCCTTTTTCTTCTTATTCTCTATTCACACTCACGTTCTATCGTACTTACAATGAAGGAGACCTGTTGTAGACCCTCGAGAAGACATCCAAATGACATAGCAACGATCTAGTGCTATGTCTGGGAATACTTCGGAGGGATATTGATAAGCAAAGAAGGTTGTGAGTCAGCGCCTTCTCATGGGCTTACTGATACAGCCAACCGCACACCCCTTACCAATACTTTTTCTCATACAATTAGTAAATACAATAGATTGGACCACTTTCTCCTCCTTTTCCTATTGGTTAGACAGTTGGTCAGACCACTTTCTTAATTCTTTCCTTTCTCGGTCTGACCCTTGCCGTTCACTATATAAAGAAGTACATACTCGATGTATTATTCTTTAGTTCAATATTAGTTTGGATTTGCGCCTATACCAATACTCTTCGAAACTCATACCCTGATTCATCGCCTTCCAGCAAGGACTTGACCAGGCATTGTATTTTGTTATATAGCTTCATATTCATTGCCTGACAGGATCAATGGGAATTAGCTGTTAAAGAGAAACTTGACAGACTCAATAAAGCACAAACCTGGACTCACGTAGAATGGCCAAACAATGCCAACATTATTGGAAGCCAATGGGTTTTCAAGCTAAAGAAAAATGCTACAGGAGGAATCGATAAATACAAAGCCAGACTTGTAGCCCAAGGTTTTTGTCAGGTCAAAGGAGTCAATTACTTTAACACTTTTGTGCCCGTTGCAAAAATGGCCTCACTACGTATTATGTTAGCAATAGCTGCTCGACGTGACTGGGAAATTCACCAAATGGATGTGAAAAGCCCCTACCTAAATGGTGAGCTAGATGACGACGAAATCATCCACATGCAACAACCTCCAGGTTACACCATACTCAGGAAAGAGTCTTAGAGGAAGAGATAATCACTGTTAGGAATTTCTCTACTAAATTTTGCAACATTAGGAAATTTCCCAAGTTGTACTTAAATTGTAGAAAAAGGTTTTCCCTACTAGTTTTTATATCTTTGATACAAATGAAACTCTGAAAAGTAGTTGCTGGATATCATGCAAATAAACATATATATATTACTTTTCCTACTGTGCAAAAATAGGATAAACAATGGCTGATAAACCTATATTATTTTTCTTGAGCTATATTTCTTGAGGGAAAATGCAACTAAGGGAAAATCCTTCAAGGGAAAAGGCCACTGAGGGATGCTACTAGGGAATATTCCTTGATGAAAAAAGCCACTAAGGGAACAGGCCACCAAAGGAAGACCCCTGACACCCTGTGACATATGACAATTGGTGGGATATTTCCACTTGTACTAGTACCAGGGAATATCCCATTGTATATTTTAAGGTCTAATCCCAAGTATTAATATAGTAGGAGATGGGGATCTCCCACTTAATATGGGAAGCTCCCTCAAAACACTATAATAGACCATCATAGACCATGGACATTGTTGGCATATTTTATTCATAGTATATTAACATTCTACGTTCTATTTCCTTATCATCCATATATTATCCTTTATTCTCTGATTGACCGCTTTTCATTACATTACATAAGCTCAGATCATTCACATGCTTATTCCAAAACTTATAGTATTCTACATTACACAAACCTCAGTCTCTTAATTATAAGACTGAGGTATGTCTGGCTATTCTACAGTCCACATTCTATTACTATACTCACTCTACACTCTTAGAAAAACTCTCTATTAGGTGGATCATCATTTATTTACTATACTCACTTTACACTCTTAGAAAAATTCTCTATTAGGTAGATCATCATTTAATCTGAGTCTCTTAATTATAAGACTGAGAAAAAATCTCTATTAGTCTTCTCATAGCCTCACAGACATTTGGGCATTTAGCCCCCTACCTTAGTAGAATATGTTACGGCTAAGAGCCCTGTTAAAGTGGTTGACTGAAGTGACTATCTAGGATGAAGAGTCTAGTCTTTGTGACCACATACAGCCAAGAACTTGCGCAACAGTTGACCTCTTCTGGGTGTTGATGAAGCACATGTTGTGTTACAATAACATAATTTTTGGACCTTTCCTTTATTTTCATTCTCCGCTTTAACCTTGTACTTTAGCTTTCACACATGGTGCCATGCAGCACTTCCCCTTTTGTTCAAACTCCTCTTTCTCATGCCACATTGCCTTTTTTCTTATTTTTAGATACAACTCTCACACAGTGGAGCTGGTCATGTGGGCTAGGCCCCATGACATCATCAGCCACTGTCTCTATCAACTGTATAATACACATGTACAAATAACCCTGTAGTAGTATATATACCCCAATAGATCCAGGAGACTCCTTAGTGAGTCCTCCTGTTGTATACCAACTAACTCACTGCAGTCTAAGGGGTAACCACTCCCCATCATCTTCTTTATAGTGTGTTTCTGTGTGCACCAGAGTAAATAACTCTTGGTTGTTACATGTTGTTACTGCATGGGGGGAGGAATTCTGAAAGGCTTACAACTGGATTGGGAGATTATAAAGAAGATTACCAGACCACATACCCTTGGTAGCCGTTACTGCAATACTTGCTCCAGGACAACCCCAAAAGCGGCTGTGCAGCAATCTTGGATTAAATGATGGCTTGTACTGCTTTGAACAGCAATCCTGTGAGCGCTCCAACATACATGTGGTAATCAAAGAACTTATCCATAGTTTGACCGATTATCAATTCCCCGAGATTTTGTGGGTCTTGAATGAGCATCAGGAAAAACCCTTTTGCTATATAGCGCTATATAGCCACCACTTGTATATATAAATGCATTCATAGAAACTATAGTACTATCAGTGCAATTATAGCTCTTATAGCTCTTATAGCATAGTAGTAGGCAATATTTTGACCAAAAAGAGAAGTATCTATAATTCCCTCAAACTCTGGATTAATCTAATAAACTTGTTCAATAATAGAAAGAGGCTAAAAGTGTTTGGAGTCAAGTATATTATTATAGGCAAGGTACTATAAGTGCTTTTATAGCCTATAGCAGCCTACATAGCTCCTATAGCTGTAAAGGTCATAGTTATAATATAGTCCAAGGTGCTTAAAAGGGCTAATAAACCATACAGTATTAATTAATTATGTAGCCTGTATTAGTGAAATAGTAGTTTGTATCTTTGATATCTATAAAATAAGAATAATGATTTATCCAAATATAAGTGATGACAATGAGTAAAAAAATAATCTGTCCATGAAAGGTTAATATATAACATCTGTATGATACATCTTATAAGCTCTCATGGTGTAGTGGATAAATGTGATGTGTGGCTATAGGTTGCTTAGTCACCCAAAAGCTGATTAGCAGGTTGAGAGTGTAAATCCTGTTTGTGTTAATTTTTTTTTATCAGCCATACAACAATTTCCAACATCTATAAGAGCATTTATAGAGCTATATGAGGCTCTATAGATGGCAGAGGTTCTATAACAGGTTTGACCACTATAACAGCTTTATGAGTACTTATAGTGCTATAGAGCTCTATATAGCTACCCCCATTTTTCCTGATGACGGCTCACAAGTCATTGTATATTGCAAGATCATTGATCAGGCCTTTTGGGTAGCGCTGTCAACGATGAGAATTGTTGTTAGAAAACCACACACAAAAACAAACTAACAAACAATCCTCCCGGAACTTGTTTATGGGCTTTGCCTCCTAGAACAGTGGGTGCTCTGGTTGTTCATGGGGTGGTATATATGATGATCCTTCAAAGTAAAACCCAGAGGTGTATGAGTGTGGGTTTTGAGGAGGAGGGATAGTTGAATTTAAAAAGGATAGGGGCTTTATGACAAGTATAGATGAGTACAATTAGCAAGGTAGGTTTGAGAACAATGAGGATGATAAGGTGACGAGGTTCCCAGTGATAGCAGTCTCCTGACGCACAAACTGTAGTGCTCAGAAGGACTCTAATCAAAAGGGATAACAATGACTTCAAAAGGGATAACAATGACTTCAAAAGTGGGAAGTGATGATGACAGCAGTTAACAGTGGTAGCAGTGGGAAGTGTTGTGACCACACTGGATCACAAGTAGCAGTAAAAAGTGGACTTAAGATTGGAGAAGAAGTCTGGAATCGAGTTTTTGTTGTTTTTACAAGGTAAAATACAGGTGTTTATATAGTGAAAAGAAAGGTAGGCTATGCACAGTATAGCTGTGCAAAAAGAATGAGAAAGAACATAAAGGAAGGAATGTACGCTGACAAATCCTGCGTAGTTAGTACAGGATAAGATTGTCAAAATAAGGGAAAGAAAGAGATAGAACAATGAATGCTATATAAGTAATGGTACAGGTTTGTACAGTCATAAAAATAAAGTCCAATAAGAGAAAAAGAGCAAGAAAATTGTGATGTCATAAGAAGATGCAGTAAAAGAGTATAAGAAAAAAAATCAATATCAGTATCAACACAGTTCCTTTATTGTCAGTCAGGCATTCTAAAAAAATATGTGTCCATAAAATGATTCAAAAATCATAATAATTGCACTGTAAATGAATGTTCTGCTGAAAAAAAGAAACTGGAGCCACTGGTCCACCACCTAGTCCAAATCTGACAGTTCCATGGCTTTACCAATGGACTGGTTGTACTGGACCACCTGGTCAAGCGAGGGAGGGAGGGGAGTAGTTCCAATTTGGAACAAGTGAGTCCCAGGCAGCGTGTGGTAGCTGTAGCTGTAGCAAAGACAATGGACAAAATATAAGTGTACCCAAGTGAATGGGACAGCAATGAACATGGGCGACGCAAGGGGATGAACCTTTTCCAGCTCAAAAACTACCCACCCACGCTCCAACCAGGCAAGACAAGCGACCAATGTTTTGATGGTATATGATGGCAAATTGACGTCATGAAGATGGACCTGTTGCCCTATTTGGACCGGCCGCCGGGGTTTTGCTGATATCAGCACGTGGCACGTGGTAGTCAACGG